AACTTTAGAACTGTTCTATTATATAATATAATTATATATTTTTATAAAATTGATCATGTTATAATATTCAATGTACATTTAACTTATAATTACGTTTTTATAATGTAATATTATAAATGAACAGTAAGGTAAAGAAAGGTAAGGCAAAAATCAGGCTGAAGTACTGGGACCAAATCTTTAAAATTGTCCTGTGTAAGATTTTTGAGATATAGGTTTTCTGCTTAACACTGGGAATGGAGATCTTGGCAAATTTGACAAAGATGTTTAGTTCGTGTTATCCCAGTTTCTGTGTCAAATCTGAGCTTCTAATCTGGATAACTCTGTCAGCTTCTTTCGGGAGTTAGGGCACCTTCAAGAAAATATCCTCATCTCTGTCCACATAAAATATACCTGTGATAATCAAAACTGAATGGAGACACCACAAATTTGCAGCTCTAAATCCACAGCTTTCAACGTATGAGTATTTAGCTGTATCTATGTATAGGATTTATGTGCCTTTCATTTTGTATTAATTTTCCTAAATTATGTAAATAAAATTGGCAAGCTATCACATATGGTACAGTTTAATGGGCTTTTTGGGGAGAGGTAAAAATATGAATTCACAGAGTCTTTCCTGTGTTCCACAGGACAGTTTTGCGGTGCAGGATAGCCCAGTGTGGATGGATTCCAGCACTACGGAACAGTGCCAGCTCCTGGAGCAAGCTGTAGGAGGAGCCCAGCACCTGGCTGACATCACTGGCTCTCGTGCTTATGAGGTGAGGTAGATCACTGTCCCTTGTAGTCATGATGTTTTGAAGTAGTAATAAATGTCTGTTATATATTGTATACTACCTAATCCACATATTCAGAGCAAGAAAAATTGAAGAGCAGTAGATAGTTAATATGATAGAAAAAGGGAAAAGTTATTATAAGCATTTAAACCCTTTGCTGTGGGAAACCTAAAATAATTTAGGTACACAGAATTGCCTTGATGATCCAAACATTTAGCTGAGTGGCCTCTGTTTGTGTTCAACAATAATGTTTGTGGTAACTTCAGAATAAAAATGACGGTCTCTTTGAGGGTCTCTGTGACCAGGTGGTGAATTTCAGGCAAAGACTCAACTATGAAGACCGAAAAAGTTTTCCAAGCAAGTGAGGGGTAAAGTAATTAAAAAGTGTACAAACAATATTATGTTCTCGGAAAATCCCTTACCCAAAATGAGTTGTGGCTGTAATTCCTTCCAGAGGTGCTTTGACCAAATGTCGAGTTTGTGGGTCTAAATAATTCTGCAACATGTATATTTACCATCTTTTCTTCAGTTTTGGCTGACATTTACTGAATCTTATCTTGCTCTTAGAAGTCTTCAGTCGTAGCATTTACGAAGAGTGGTCTTATTTGCACTGTTCTCTTAGAATATACACAGCACACCAGATAACACCACACAATGTACACAGTACATTATAAAACAGTAAATGATTAATAGTGACAGTATGTACAAACAGACAGTAAACAAACAGAACAATAAATACGTGGTAGGAGCAAAAATAAAGAACATAAATGAGAGAACTACATGTGAGATGTCACCATGGAATAACGCCATCCCGATCTAGATCAAGGCACTGTACTTCCTTGTTATTTTTGAATATTTGTCTCCTCAGAGGTTGAGCAATATAATGCTAAGTTACACAAATTTGCATATATTTTCAAATTCAAGTTATATTGCTTGATTAGTGTAATAGAGAAAGGGAAAAGGACTGAGAATATTTGAGGAAGTAGAATGCACAACAGAGCATTTTGATTGTAGAGACTGAACAATGGCACCATATATGAAATGTTGATTTTTTTTCTGTCTTATTTTTATGCTGGAATTATATTCTACTGTCTACTTGTCCTTCTTGTGTTTCTATATGTTGCTTAAGATGACCTGAATTGGGATCGGATCATTGACTTAGAATGCTTTAGTTGGAGAACTTAAGTCTTTCAATTTCTGTTTCATAGTATTGTAACGGTGTATACAGTACCTGTAATGGAAGTAAAATGTACTTTTAAAGAAATGGTTTGGATTTAAGATTTTTGTGGTTTTGCAATAATATGAATCCTAAACGTGAAGTGATGAATGTATTTTTTCACAGCACATCTGGTTTTACAGAAATTGTTTAATCGACATACTGTACATAAGCACATTTTTCACTGACTTTTTGAACGTCATTGTTGCTTATCTTGAGTAATATGCAAAAACTTACATTTTTAGAGATTCACTGGAAATCAGATAGCCAAGATTTGCAAGACAAAACCTGAAGCATACAAGGAAACAGAGGTATTTTTTTAAGCCAAAGTCCCTTTCTATTTCTTTTTTGATCTAGCACTTGATTAATTTGACTTCGTGATGATGCTGATACTAAAGCAAATACCTGGAGACCTGGAGCTACACCCAGTGCAATATAGTTTTCTCAGGAAATGCAACACAAAGACAATGAGAACTGGGTTTTATTGTGTTGTTTCATACACTTTAATACAAGTCATACCCATATCTTGACACTTTTTCTGAAAATTATGTTACAGAGAATTTCACTGGTCAGTAGCTTTGCTGCCTCTGTCTTCCTTGGTGACTATGCTCCAATAGATTACAGTGATGGTAAGTGCTCAGACCTTTTGTAGTGGGAACAGTAAAAGTTTATACAATACATATTGGCAATTAGGGCTCTAGGGAGTCACTGCTAAACTGAATTACTTCTTCCTTCTCTTTCAAAATATGTTGTGTTCTAGCTTTTGCACAGCTGATTTGTTGTACACTCTGTTCATGTATTTTTTTCCTAAGACATGGGCTGTTTATTAACAGTCATTGTGTTTGTTTAAATAGGTCAGATGATTGTACATTGGTTTTCTGTTATCCGGTAAAAAACAGTAGTTTAAACTTGGCTATATTAGCTTGATATTAAATATACTGTATGTTATCATGGTTAAAATGAAATTCTTTTTATTGCCCTTTGATGGTTATTTGACATATAATTTTGGATGAGGTGTTAAACCACGGTCCCGACTAACTGATCATTAATAAATTCAAGGCTCTGTTCTTCAGAGTGGGAGTGTTAACTCTAGTTAATTCCTCACTAAATTCCTCTTTGGACTTGCACAATCTATCCTCCTTCAATTTCCCCTTTAATTCAAAAGTATTATCACTTTACCTGAGCATATTCTTAGCATCATGAATAATTATTTTGTCACATATCACCTTTCATTTAAAATCATTTCAAGGTGCTGTGCAATAAAATGATTAAACAAAAGAGACAAGTCTAAACCCATTCAAAAAGTAAATTAAACACAATTTAACACTACAGTATAAAACTGCGTCTTAGGCTATGACAGTGCTGTCTGACTTTCCAGATCTGATATTGGCTAAGAGATCATAATGACAACAAAATCACAAATATAACTGTAATCTTTTCAGCTACATTCAGTCTCCACAATCAATGAATAGGAGCTTTCCATATAACATGGCTTGATAAAGTATTCCCCAATCTTTAGGTTTCTCGTAATTATTTCTATAAGTGTATTAGTAGCAGTTCTGTGCTTCACACTGTTCACAGGATCAGGGATGAATTTGATGGACATCTTTACAAAAGAGTGGGCACCACAATGCTTGAGGGCCACAGCAACCCAGCTGAAGGAAAAATTGGGCTCTCCAGTTCCTTCCTCAACAGTTCTGGTATGTTTTTAAAATATTTTTCTTACAGGAGTAATGAGAAGTTGAAATTGGGTGGAAGGGACCATTAAAAATTATTACCACTGAACTAATTAGTTCAACTTACTAATGTAGACATTTACAATTGCTCTAAAATGCAGTACATATTTTACTGAGAAGGTTAACATCTGGAGGGAAAAGCATTCCCAGGGACTTTTCTGGGAACTCTGTAGAATATTAGAGAATATATATAGAATACAATATGGGCATTTTTTATAGAATTGTCTATAACTTCTTCACAAGCAGTCACCTTCACAAGCTGTTCTTGTGAAAGATGAAAAGTCGCATTGTATTTAAGATATTTTATTGGAAAATGTTTAATTGTTCTATTAAAAATGGTGTAGATTTATCTTAAAAATGTGATTTGCTTATGGAGTTGTAATACAAACTTAATATTTCCGGTTGTATGTTAATGTCCTGTAACTATAAAACTTGAATCATGAGTAAGGGATGAGCAACTAGCTTAAGTTGAAATGTTCCCAGATATTGACAGATGATCATGGCCATCACTCCACAATAAAAATGAAAGTCAAATAAACAACATAACAGAGAAGGCTCAAGCCATACCATTTAAGTCATTCATAAATAAAAAATTGATTGTGTAACAGAGGGGATCAGTAGAGGCCTAATCATGTGATTTTAATTAATATAGTATTTTAATACCCTTTTGAGTTTAATGCCCATTTGAACCCTGTTCCCTCATTAACAGTTGTATTCTGCTGAAAAAGGGCTATGAAGCCTGTTGGATTTTGTCCTTCAATGATCTCAGATATGCCTGTGCTGATAAGTTTCTTATCTTCTGAAATAATTACAGTATAGATATTCTACTGGATTTTCTTATCATTACGTTTTCCTTTATTTTTTAAGTATATTCAGCAACATAAAGTGCCATACCGTTGTGAAGCTTTTACTAGACTAAATATAATTTTCTTTGCTCTTTGTAGACTGTGCATAGTTTTTTTTCTGATAGTTTGATTACATTTCTATCAGTAGTTGATAGCATACAGATTTAACTATGCCTATTCGTACTGCCTGATAAAATGTGTCTTAGCTGCATGTACAGTATAAGACAGTGACATTCATCAAGGTGTGTTTTTCTGATTACAGTGCACTTTTTCTGATTACAGTGCACTGTGTGTCTTGATATACAGTAGCTGTAACTGTAACATGAGATATCATTTAAATTAATGATCATGTATAATGATCATGCACTTTCTGAAAACAGTATCTATAAAATCAATGCAGCTTTTATTCATCTGCTAGATGTAAATCTGCAGTTCTCCATTTAGTATTTTTGTATAGGGATCACCATAGCTTTCAAAGCACCAAGATAATAAATAGATGCCAAGACTCACTTTAATTTAAAAAAATAGTATTCAGATTTTACAATTTTCATACTCCTTCCTAGGTGGTTTTATGATCTTCATTGTACAACCATGATGTAGAGACATCATTCACAAAGAGGTATACACTCCTGTATGAAGTTGTCAGCATAGTGTGAATTTCACCCATCATTGGGAGAACTGTGATGTGCTCCTAATATCATCACTGGTGCGGTCAATGACAAGTAATCAGCAGTGAAAAGTAAGACTAAGTAAGAAAGACAGGTTTATGGAGAAGAAGAGTCCATAATATGTTATGTTACGACAAACAGCATTCTGTTGGCATCTAAATGAGATTTAAATACAACAATGCAAAGACATTTTATTTACACAGATTCATAGCTTTAGAACGAACATCTTCATGATTGAAATGACAGGTTAACATGCAATTATGAACTTTAAACTGTGTATTTTTTCATACTGTATCTGCGGGGTATGTTGTGTTCCTCACCTGACCTTGGACCCACTCTTCTAAAGTACTGTATATGATTTTTGTGGCTAGTATTGTCTCACAAAGTGGCTGGTAGTCAGATACTGCAGGTGTGTGTTAATAACTGGAACATGGAATTCTGATTAGTACATATGGCAGACAGAGCAGGCAGTCTTAGCTGGTCATTTTCCTGTTCTCATTGTGCCACAGGCAGAATTCCGAAAATGGTCTAAATGGAAGTTTTAGAAATTGGAAGGAGTAATCAGTATTCACTTTCAAGATGATCCAAATTTCCTAAATGTCATTGTATTTTAGTTCTGCCCTTAACTCATCAGTAATATAACTGGCAGAATTATTTTTCAGTTATGAGTAAATTTTATAATTAGCCAGTACTTGGCTTTCTTAGAATGGCTTGATTGACATTTTCAGGCCTCAAGCTGAAAACCTGGAAAGCAGGTCACACACATTTGCCTGCGAATTTCACAGGGCATTACTCATCATTTCTGTAACTGAAACTGCAACACCGTTTTGTAACTGAAATTCAATTACAGTTTGAGAATTATGCCCTTGGGGACTGGCACTTTTGCTCAGTGTTGCCGAAAAAAAAATGCCAAACATGTGCTTAGTGATCTTGGAATGAGGGAAGGTTGTAGGGATGTCTGCTCAGAAAAATAAAATGAACTGTGAGTATTGCCATGTCAGAGACAATGTCGCATAGCATTGGTGCCACCCAGTGGCACAGCTGCAACCTGCTTGCACAGTTAACAGTAATTGTAGCTAACAGTTTGTTAGATTTCAGTAGAATATATCACATTTCCCTGTACAGTGACTCCCACGAATGATAACACTGGCCCTGGTAAGTTCCTGCTAAGTTATTTTTTACTATATTTAAGTAAACCTTTTTTAGTCATACATCTTTTAAAATGTCATAAGACAGAATGTACGCTAGTTTTATGCTGCAATTCAGATTATGTTGATTACACCATAGTGCCTGTTCTATTAGTTTAGTGTCTAAGTTGGTCTTGATGTTTTTTCTTTTTTTATTTTAAATTAGGGTTCCGTGTCTCCATACTTTGTCCGGCGCTATGGGTTCTCACCAGACTGTAGAGTTGTAGCATTCACAGGTGACAATCCAGGTGAGATTCTAGTGATCCAGTTGTGGTTTCTTCCATGGAACTCCTTCCTCCTCTTTCTGTCTCTATCAACACTAGATCACTAGGTGGTAAGAGCACTCCATGCTGATGGTAATTCCATGAGCACTGAGAGAAGTAATGACATATTCCAGAACATGTTTGATTGTATTTGTGGGTGCTTAGACAAGTAGCCTTCCAGGTAAATTCAGAAGACAAGTTACCTTCCAGGTAAATTCAATTTACAATTGACTGCTTTTTTATTATGTCAAACCTGTAATGTAACATCTGGGAACTGCTGTACAAAACACCTTCTTGAAACAGTTTCAAGCTACATGAACAGCAGCACACAATGAAATGCAGAAACAATCAGAGTTTATACTTAATATGACAGAATAGTACCTAGTTTGGGCCTAACAGAAATCTGTATCAGTATCCCTTGTCTGAACCTTGCATGTGCAGAGCGACTCCTTCCCACTTTGCCTGTGTGATGAAGATTGTCACTTGCACGTTCACATATTCATCAGCTTCATGTCCTCAAACTCAGTTCTTTCTGTTGGGGCAACTGGTTTTCCAAGCTCATATATTAATTACTTGATTGCATTAAATATACTGTTATCCTTTCATCTTCATCTTCTGACTGCTTCATCTAGTTCCATGTTGTAGTGGAGCTGGAGCTCATACTAGAAAGTGATTGGCGCAAGGAATGACACACTTTGGACTGGATGCTGGAGTCCATCACAGGGTGGACACACAGATACCAACACGGACAAGCACACACTCACTCCAGGGCCAATTTTTCCCAGAAGTCAGTTAACCTGCCAAGATGTTTTGGGATTGTGGGAAGACCCGGAGCAACCGGGGGAAACCCATGTAAACACAGTGAGAACCTACAAATTCCATGCAGATGGAACCCCAGGTCTGGAACTGAACCCAGGATCCCGTACTGAAAGGCAAAAATGCTAAACACTGTGCCAACATGCCTCTCTATTTTCCTTGTGTACAATATAATAATCAAAATGACCAGAAATCGAATTCCTTTGTCTTTATTGTTTTTAATATTAATCTTAAGCAGAATTTAAAGAAAACATTTTTTTTTTATTTCTAGAAAAAGCTACAAAGACATTGACAGTGTTTATATTGCTTTATTGTGTTTATAGACTTTTTATTTAGTGACATAGTGATACAGTTAATTTAACAGTTACCAGTATTTATATTACTAACTACATAATTACCTGTTGATCATATTTAATCTAACAGTTGCCTAATTTTTTCAGTGAATGACATCTTCAAAATTTGTTTTGCAACTTTGACTTCAACTTATCTCTGTTAAATAGCATATATTCCAGCACAGCATAAATACAATCTGAATAAAAGAATATTTCCTACGGAATTTGGATGCATGAGTGTCAAGTGCATCAGTATTTTTGCAATCGATAACAAAGAGATGTGAAACGCAATACAAAACTCAAGTGAGTTTTTATGCTAGTTCTTCACAAATTCAATAGCAATTTATTTGTGTAGGTGAGGAAGTGAAGGCTTCCTAATCATGTTAGAAATAACTAAATCTTAAAAGTGTTCATTGCTATTTGAATGCTGAAGGGCAGTGTTTATTAATACAAATGAAGCATAGTAAATCAAGTAGATCCATCCATTCATTTTCTAACAGCTTCATCCAATTCAGGGCTGCATGGGGAATCAAGTACATGCTCATGCCTTTTCATTATACTTCTTGTCTAGCATCTGATAAAAAGTTAGCAGTAAGTGAAGTACATTACTCTAGAGCTTAGGAAAATTAAACTCAATTAAGTCTTTCTCATGGTGGCATGGTGGCACAGTTGTTAACATTTATTTATTTATGTTATTCAATAACGAGTCACGCGGGGTGGGGAGGGCATTGGAGCCTCCCGGCCAGCAATGGGAGCAAGGCAGGACACACCCTGGACAGGATGCCAGTCCATCACATGGAGACAGACACACACACACCGCTACACTTCCCACAAAACAATCAACCTGCCAATATGTTTTTGACCGTGGGAGGACACCAGAACACCTGGAGAAAAACCCATGTGAACATGGGGTAGCACCTCAAGAAGAGAACCCGGGGAATCCAGTGCTGTGAGGCAGCAATGCTAACTGTGCCAAATGAACTACCCACTTGAAGAACCTCTGATACCCAATTTACTTATTTTGATTTAGCTAGAAATAAAGGCTTGAGTAGAAGCCCTTAGTTCATGGTTAAATCGGTATTTTGTTCTTCTAAAAGTTATCATTTATTGCTTTTGAGTAAAGGGTCTAAAACAAAAAATATGAATTTTCCCAAAGAAATGTCAGTTGACCTATTTTACTATTGAAGTGCTTTTCAAATTTTCTTTTTGGCTTTAGATGACAAACTCGGGGAAAATTCCTGAATTAAACTTATTCTTCTTTGCTCTTTCGTTCCTGCCAAAGAACGGGTAACATATGTATCACCCTTGAAACCTGACTGAATGTTTTGTCTAGTCAACAAGAAAGCAGGATGACAAAAATGATTAAATATGTAAAAGTGCACTTGTCCCAGTAAAACAAAATTAAAGCTGGAATTTAAAGGTATGTATATATTGTTTAAAGTCACAGGATTAAATAATTTATTTTGATTTGCATCCAGTCTTTAGCTTTTTTTTGTGTGATGCTTACTGTAGTTCTATCAAAATAAAATAATGAAGTAAATGAACATATCAATCTTGAGTATTCAGTGATATAATAGACAGTTTTTCTACAGTAGCTGGAGAGTATCTAATGCCATACAAATGTATTGAGTGTTAAATCAGTACTGGTTCTTATTCCTCAGGGTCCTTGGCAGGAATGAGACTCAAGGAGGGAGACATTGCAGTAAGTATCCATGATTTTCCTACCCTGGATTCTGTCCAGTCTGGACGGGTGAAAATGTAAAGCATCTCAATGGTTCTGTTTCTGTACAGAAAAATGATACTTCGGACAATACTGAAGTCTAGCATGTTTGTACTATTTAAAGGGTTAACATCAAACTTTGTACAGTAGGTATAAATCTATTATCAACACAGCTATTATGCTATATGTAAAAATACAGTAGGGTTTCTGCCTTATCTACGATGATATCCTAACTAGTAACTCTATCTGCTCCTCTTCAAAAGCTGTTTAGCTAGTTGACTCCCAACCTGCCAAGAATCATTTTGGTCATATCGTTAAGTAGTATTCCTGCATAACTGAAGATGGCTGCCTGATTAACCTGGTTCTCTTTTAAATTATCTCACTCCACAAACTGCTCATGCTCAAATGGTGTTTGATCATTTATCTTCAGAATTACTTGGTAGAGTATAATTCTGTTGACAATATGATTAAACCTAGTCAAAATGTATCTTCTGCTAAATTAAAGTTGGCTCCCTTACCTCCATTTTGTTCTCAATCTTCAAACTGGACCACGTACACCCACTCGCTTAAACCTTGGCAGATTTTATTGAACTAGAACCTGCTTCAGAGCTACAGGTATGTTTCACATGTAGCATCTGTACTTTTTACACTTTAAAATAGGTGACAGGAGATACCTGACAAGAGAAATACAACCTCTACCTCTAAAAATTGTTTTGAGTGATGAGCTCTTTAGCTGGTAGGTATAATTCTAGTTTTTCCTTAGTTTATTTGCAGTTCATTCACACTCTTGGAGTAAGAGAGACGCGATTGCTTGGAACTCTGCAAAACAAATTCTCTAACTTCTCATTGATTTTTATATTAACCATTTATACAGAAATAAAACTATTCATTTGTGCTTTACTTATGTTGACTTAATTTTCTTACATTTTTATTGTAGTTTATAAAATATTTACAGTGGGGTCACTCATAAAATATTCTGTGAAGCCCATATACAGTAGAAGCTATACAGTTGTACAAGTATTAGGTGAGATAGTAAACTTTTTGCTGAAATTTCAGTTCGGTGGAACTACACCATATTATAATTGTGTAGTTAATTAAAATAAAACATGCTTTGTTGTGTGCTTTTAACAAATTACACAGGATGGTTTAACAACACAAGAGTCAGTCAAATCATTTTTTATACTCACAGCCTTACTGCAGCCCATTTCAGTGACCTACATTGTTTTTACTACACATCAAAATGGTGACTTATTAACCTGCATTACAAACACACGGAGGCTGTCTGTAGATTTTACTGTACTGTTTAAACTCCCTCATGCCTTCTGCTTCTCAAACTGTTACTGTAGATCAGGAGAGGGCAGTGTCTAGATCTTCTTTTGGCTGGCTGATTACAGGTACTGTATGAGGCCCTGGCAGTTCAGACTCAACAGAAGATTTCACATAAAATCTTTAAATGGAGACCTAGCATATCTTAAGAAGGACAAGTAAATAATTAAACAAGAATGCTAGTCCCTGGTTTCTGGAGCACAATCAAGTTAGAAGTTTAAGTCCTACTTTGGTGCTGTGTTTTGCTGACCATTTTCAGTTTATAATAATTTATTAATGAAAAAGAAAATAAAAGACAATGTCAAAATATGATCACTTTGTTAACTTTTGTTTCAGAGCTTTTATATAGCCAGGTACAGTAAGTACAATACTGTGACACACTTCATGACCAGAACATTGATAGGCAGGTCTGTGTAAATCAGATTCACAAAGTAGTCATAAGGTAAAGAGAAAGTGCTCCTTTCTTTATAGTGAACCCTTTAACAAACACAATGCTTTTACAAAGCCCTCTATTGGATTAAGAAATTAGAAAATGGATGGGTGGAATTCACACACAAAAGCCTACTTTCCTCCTGTAGCTTAATGGAAGAAATCTCTTCAGAAATCTCTTGTTATCAATATCTGGTAGGTAAGCTGTTTACAAGCTCCAAATCAAGACTCGCAACACTCCCAAAACTTCCAAAACCTGCAAGATTTCAGTTCGAAGTTGCTCCCTTCTTTCTCTCCCTCTGGTGCTTTTTTGCATATCTGAGGATCTACTCTTGAGTTTCTAGATGGCAGACCAAAAAGACCCAAGCAGAAACCTGAGCATCCTGGTTTTTTAAACAGTCACATCACCACTTATCTTACATTGAATTGTCAAGTGACAAAGGACACTAGCACATTCCGTAGAGCATTTTGGAGAAATGTCTGAGCCCATTGCTCTGTTGTACTTTGTCAATTTTAAAGTGAGATATGCAGTGTGACTCAAGAGTTTTCAAACTCATTGTTTGACCAAAACGGTCAAACCAATATGTTGCAATTTTCGATAGTGTTAACAAATGCAGACTGACTTGCACAAATGATAAAAGACATCTTCATCTTACCCTGCATTGAAATAGTTATTGTTACAGTTACACGTGAAATTGATGTGTTTAAAAATACTGTACAACCTAAGTTTTGTTACATTGTATACAAAGCTGTGACTTTGTGTTGACTTTAGGTGAGTCTTGGTACAAGTGACACAATTTTCCTATGGATCAAGGATCCCAAGCCCGATGTAGAAGGACACATTTTCTGCAATCCAGTTGACAGCCAGGCGTACATGGCTTTATTATGGTAAAGAAAATCTTACTTCCCTGAGTAAACTATATTTATATTTCGGTCTACAGAATTCAGTATTGCTCACATCTCCCAGGCGCACTTACTGTTTTAAACTGGAATAGTATTATCTATAATACAGTTCATCAGCAGTGTGCAGATCAACATCTCATAGAAGGGCAGTCTGTGATTTATCAGGTTTTTTGGAGAATATGCTATTTTACTTTTGAAAAGTGCATTCCTGTGAAACTGCTGCATATAAAGTCACCTTAAGTATTGGTATATGAATGATTGGTTCCAGATAAAATTCTGGCGTTTGAGAATTCATGCATTTGCGTATTACTTCTACAAAAAGAAAAGGGCTTGAAAGAATCGTGCTAATTCATTCTTAGCATCCTTAAAATGTTAAATGCTAACTTCACAATGCTAAATACTAAAAACATTTCTAAATGTGAGCTTTAAAAATAAGCATAGACTTTACCATGCACTTCTTACTTTAAAGCATATGGTTATAATTATGTGGAAATTTAACTGACCTAATATTACTGTATGTCTCTATAAGAGATTTTGAAAATGTATCATTACACCAGAGCTCTATTTTCACATTTACCTAGAATTGTGAACAATTTTTGCAGTTTAGTTTTATGCTCATTCATTTGAAAAAGCATTTTTTAATGATACCTGACTTTCTGTAGCGACACTTGCACTTTGTAGATATGTCCACTGTATTCTTTTAGTACAGTAAACCAAGAATGCACGGAGGAACCGTTCTTTGTCTTGTGGAGGATGGACAAGGTACTTACTGACAATCTCCAAACCTTTTGGGACCTGATCAATGACAGTGGTCACTGGTAGATAGGGAAACTTCAAAGCCAAACCAATCACCTAGTCTAGGACATCCCAGGCAGTGTTCTCTGTCTGAGATATGATATTTGTCTGCATGATATTCTGGACCAAGCTATTCTTATTCTTAGAGTAGAGAGTTTTGCTCAATATGCAGCTCAGGAGCCTGTAATCATCTGAAGCTTTTCATTAAAAAAATGTGCTGCTGCTGTTGTAAAAGATTTAAAGGCTATTTAACATTGTACAAATGTCCCTGTGAGCCACTGTAATTAACCTCATGTCACATTGCTTCTTGTACATTCAACAGCTGTATAAAGGCAATAAAAGCAAAATATTTTCTTTTGTACAGTAAAGCAGACCTGAAGACGTGCAATAGATTAACAAAGCGTTCCACGTATGTTTAAGAGTAACAAAAAATCTCCAAATTAAAAATGTACTTATATCTTATATAGTGTCTTTCATCTCTAAGAATCCCAAAGCCTACAACTTTATATTTAGGAAGAGACCTGCTTTATCCACCACTGAAGTGCAGCATCAACCTGGATGATGTACAGTATAGATGGCTTTCTCCTCTAATAGCCTCACTGCACAGCAGTTCAGGTGTGTGAAGAGAGAAAGTACTTCACTAATCAAATTAAAGGGGAAATTTTGGAAGCCCATATTGAACAAGCATGACTGAAATTTAAGCAGGACACCGAGATTAAAACCCTCATTCTTATTTGGTTTATACTCATGTCCTGGACCACAGGGTCTTTAAAGACCGAAAAGTCAGGACTCCTCCTGTCTTTAGAAGAGAAGGACTATACCTCCTATAGTACATGTAAGACAGTATTCACTGAAAACTGTTTCTGTGCCTCCAGTTTTAAAAATGGCTCACTTACAAGAGAGAGAATCAGGGATGAATGTGCAGGAGGATCTTGGGAAGATTTCTCAAAAGCACTTCAATCAGTACCAATGGGGAACTCTGGAAAAATAGGTAATATATGTTTATTTAACCAGAGCTTTTGAGAGCATTTCAAGAGTCTTGTTCTTAAGGTGGAATTTAGAAGACAATCAGGACCTGCTGGCAATATCGAGTAATTTGAGCAATATTTGTACAAATTGGAAAGATGAAAATTCAGCTAGTGAGGTGGTAGCAATGGAAATAAAATATTTCTCATATATTTTAGATTTGTATATTGTGTGCTTTTTCAATTTCTTTGAGATTGTTTCCAGGGACACCAAATTTCCATAAATTTTCTGAATTCTTTGGTATTGAATGGGTCTATTCAGTAAATACAATAAAACAACATTCTTAATTCTTGTTATGTGTTACAGTATTAAATCTGGATTACTCACCACTGGCATGTTATCAAATGCTATAAGTGTGTGTCATACTGTAGCTTACTTTGAATCAGGATAATGGTGTAAAACTCTGGTGATAATAGTGAAACAACTGAAAACTTTTTTTTCAGGAATTTATTTTGATGTAATGGAAATCACACCAGCGGCAGAGGGGGTACACAGATTTAATAGGGATAACAAAAAGGTAAGAAAAAATGACTTTGGTTCTGTGCAGCCTTGTCTGTTGCATCTTCCTGTGCACTGTTAGTTAAGTCAGGATATGTGCCTGACTGGGCTTACCAGTATACCTACTTGTACTCTCTATTTGAAGTCTCTGGGTATAGGAATATATTCTCTGGAGAATCTACACAACTTTGACTTGCCTCCTGATTCTCCCTACTTTATCCTATGGTGGAATCCTGTGTTGTCCCAGACATTTTCTTAAAATGTATTTATGATTTTTTCCCTCTATTTTTCCACTTAAAAAATTTAAATTTAAAAAGAAATATTTAATATCCTCTCCTCTGATCCACTTACTTTTTCTATAATTTAAAACAGCTGAAATTCCAAAAGACTGATAAAGACCTATACTATATACATTTTGCATTTACCTTTACATCATAGAAAAAAAATATTAAGCATTTAAGCTCTATTTTAAGACAGGAATTATATTTTTCAAACATGCAATGTGGGTTTCATTCTGGACATGAATGTGTAATAGCAAACATCCTTCAGTGTTGTCAGTTATATTATAATTGTGAAGCTTACACTTGTATGAATTGTCTTTATATGTTTATCCAATACTTTTTACAGTGTGGACCACTCAATTCTTCTGCACACTATGCTGAATATTGGTGTTTATATGAACTACTTGCATAGATACAATAATTACAACATTAGAATGGTGTTTAAAACATGAATATTGTGTTTCCTTTTAGTTTCTATTGGAGTCCTACAAGGTTCTGTTCTGAGCCCTTCTCTTTTCTCCTTCTGTATCAAGGGTTCTGAACCTACAGTATGTGTCACCATGCCATTTATAGGTTGGGTCACCATGATCCTCTTTAATAAGTTGAAATTTCCTCTTGCACAACCGTGTTTTTCTGGAAGACTTATTTTTTAGTTCCACTGGGAAAAAAAAAACACTATTGCGTTATTACGAGAGTGTTATTTCTCAGTAGTTAAACTTTGTTTGAAAATCATTATTTAGGAATTAGCATACCATCTTCATTAAGATGAATAAAAGAATGAAGTTACACTTCCTTTTGTGGAAAGCTCTTAGGATACAGATGAATGTTTAATACATCTATTTTTAGACATCAAGTATACAGTACCTCCCAGTAATCGAGCATTCCTGAGGTAAACATGTGCAACATTAAGACATATTCCTACAAGTACTGCTACATCCCAGAGGATCAGACTTAATACAGCTGGGTGTGCAGCCCATTTGACATTGCTCATGACGTTTCAAGCATTGCAGGCCTCGAGAATCAAATGTAGTGGAGAGACTCCATTACAATTTTCAAAAACAAACAGAATCACTTAGTTCTGCATCAAAGTAAAAAAAAATCGCTATATAGAGGCCAAATGATCCCTAGATAAAAAGGCTGCACTTACTGTAAATCCAGAAGGAGAAGATTGTGAACTGACCCAGAGTCAGAAGCTGTTTAACAAGGGTGGTTTCAACATTGTGTCTCTACTCTCAACTGAAAAGGTTCAAAGAACTCATTAGATGCCAGTGGAACCTGCACATTTAGTATTTGTGTTTCCAAGTCAGGGTTCTTTCAGCATAGCTGTTATGGCAGTGGACTTTAAACCTGCAGATTAAGATCATATTTTAATGACTCATTGAGGAGGTTAGTAGCAATTGGACAGAAACAGAGATGTTAGTTTTGAATAGGGGCATAAACTTAGGATCTAGTTCAGAAACGTAGACAGTCTCATATTAAGTATCAGCTCAGTTACATAAGCACCATCAACAGCAGTAAAATGAGAAAGAAAAACTTTAACCTAAGAAAAGAGAACAGGGTTTAGGCGTCATGACTGCAGTAGAGGACTGTATTTTTTGTGAAAGAATTGCATGAATGCATTGCATAGTGCAGCACAGAAAGGACATTCAGACTTATTTAGCTGGTTGGAGCATATGATAGTGTTGAGAAGGTCTGTTGGATTATTGTGATCCTGTTCCAAACGGTTGGGAAAGGAAGAGGATCTGGCCGCCTTACAGGCATCCTTATAGGATGGCTGATGCTGTTCATAAGCCTCTAGCTGAGCAGAGTGCCCAATCTGTCTCCAAAAATGCTGCTTTCTTTTTTGAAGACCATATTAGTATATGCATGTATTCCATGTATATCCTACCGTATCCTTGAGTGTATGTCCATGAATGTATAATGTTTCCCCTCTGTTAAGGCAGTCTTCAACAATGTAAAATAATTAGTTTATTTCCTGAAATATTGTTTATCCTAATCTCTTTGTTGGTGACGGTTGTTTTTACTGTGTTTTTGTTAACACTGTGTATTTGTGCCACAAAACAGATTTCCCACATGGGATAGTAGATCATGAAATGAAATGATTAAAATGTGACCGATGTCAAAGATAGTAATGGAAAGCTGCCACTAGAGGCCGCTACAGGAGCTGGTTTCAAAGACGATCTTCTGTAGAAAGTTCACCTGTGGATGATATATTTGTAATCAATTTAATTGATTGGAATGTGAGAATTCGTTTGTTGGCTTTGTGCACTGTATGTAAGGGTGTGTTGTCTTGAGACTAAAAGAGATTGATAATGAGAGAATCATTTTATTTTTCTATGTACAAATTCTCCTTATCTGCATTACCTGAGCTTGGGATCTTCCACATATAATTTGTCCCTTCCTACATATCCATAAAGCTTTTGTTTTTCACACTGCACAACACACTACACATTTGTCAGGACTAACTGTTACTTTCAAATGTTTATCTAAAATAAAACAGATGAAAATTCAGAAGAAGATTGGCATAGAATTGTTTTAGATAAAGAAGGAAACAAAAGACATTTGACATACTGTAGAATTGTTTTAGATAAAGAAGGAAACAAACTGTGAAATGAATATAGCTGAGACTTGTCGAAGATCTTTGCACAGCAATGTATATCATGGAAGTATAAACTATAATCAAGAAAAAAAATGGAGCTGCATAGTTTGTTGAAGCTGCAATAGCAAATTGTGGGAAAGCTATCAATGTCGGAGAGAACTCTGTAATGTTTCGATATATCACTGATCAGATTACTGAAGCCTCCTTTATGTCTGCCAAAGGTTGTGGGATTCCCAAAGGAGGTGGAAATTCGAGCTTTAATCGAGGGACAGTTCCTGGCAAAGAGAGTTCATGCTGAAAACCTGGGCTATAAAATCAGTGAGTATTCTTTTCTGTAAATTGCTCTGGAACTCTGTGCAGGTTTAACTATTCTTTTTCATTGACCAATTATAGAATTATTCCTATAGAATGGTTCAAAGTATAATATAACCACATCTGCATTTTTTTTATGATTTTTACATTTTAGATAAAATTTGAATACATTATCAAGCTCCTATTTCAAACAGCAGCACACACTTAACATAAAAATATTTACAAAAAGAGGAGTCCATTTAGGGTAGATAGATTTAAGGAAACCATTATAGACATTTACAGACATTTTGACTGCTTTCATTTGGGGAAGCTTACAATGTATTACGTTTTCAAGTCTTTGTGACCTTGACATTATTAGGAAAAGTGTGCTTTAGAAATCAAAATGATAGCTCAACACAATAATTTGGTTCTCTTCTAGTACAGCATTGCAATATTTATTATCCTTAAATTACTGAAACTTTCTGAAAATTTTCTTCCTTTTTATTGTACATCAGCTGATGTACATCAGCTTTTATAAAATTATGTCCCTGTCATGTCATCATCTATATAAACACCAAAAAGAGAAAAATCTGTATGCAGTACATATTTAAAATACTTATTATTAAGCACTATTATAAACATATCTTTTGAAAACTAAATTTGCATTTTAAAGTGAAGTTATAACAAAAGCAAGAGGAAATTTCTAACGTATTCTTAATTAATTTATTAGTAACAGTGTATACTTAGCAAGATGATTTCAATTATAATGTGAAGCAGCTTTACATTTTTACATTTATTATAATATATTATTGCACTCAAAAAACAGATTTCAATACTACTAATTTATTTTTTATGTGCATAATTATCCTGTTTAAAAACAATTTTTATGAAGGTAGCACAATTGAACTAATTTACATCACAGAGGTTGTGCTATTCCACGGAAATCTGAAGGTCATATGTGCGTCACCATTAGCCACATTTGAATAGGCCCTTTAATAGTAAACTTTTGAACTCCATTCTGCTGCTCCTGAGGCACTAATCAAGAGTGCCTTGCAGACAAAATACACTGCAGAAGAGGCTACACGGGTTAGGACAGATAAAAGTGGCAAACGTACAAAAAAAAAACAAACCCCCACATTTATGGATGATTTGGCCAAGCCGAAAGGACTTTGTTTTTACATTTTAAACAGAGGCAGAAAACTGAAAACAGAATGAATTACTGCTTTGTGAAACTGTTTAGTTAGATTAATTTGTACAGACATCAAATGTGAGTACCTAGTGAACAATGAGTTGTCACACACAACAGGAAAATAGAATAGATTTCTACTGTAAATTAACATGTTTGATAACTTTGAGGTTTTATGCCTTTTTATGTGTTCTATATTGTATATAAAACACAATTTTAAATTTCAAGTCTAAAATAGTTTCCTGGGGAGCTATTACCAGAGGGATTAGGCAGGGGATGAAGATAACTTTCAGATCTCATTGATATAAGAGAGACTTCTGAGAAATCTGACAAAGTTTTAGGGAAAAAAATAGGGACAATATAACTATAATTACCCTTTGCAAGGAAAGCAATTCTTAGGGGGAAATTTCAATAAATATTAATATTTCGCACAGAAAATACACACAGAAAAAAAAGGATAAGTGTACAAAATGTTGCCTATACCTGAAAAGGAAAATGTTTATCCTGCATCTTTGACCTAACTCTAGTATTAGCAACTCACAACTGGCAACCCACTGAAGCTAAGCAGGTGTGAGCCTGGTCAGTACCTGGATGGGAGACCTCCTGAGAAAAACTAAGGTTGCTGCTGGAAGAGGTGTTAGTGGGGCCAGCAGGGGGTGCTCACCCTGCGGTCCATGTGGGTCCTAATGCCCCAGTATAGTGACAGGGACACTATACTGTATAACAGGTGCCGTCCTTCGGATGAGACGTAAAACCAAGGTCCTGACTCTCTGTGGTCATTAAAAAACCCAGGGCTTTTCTCGAAAAGAGTAGGGGTCCCGGCGTCCTGGCCAAATTTCCCATTGGCCCTTACCGATCATGGCCTCCTAATAATCCCCTTCTATGAATTGGCTACATCACTCTGCTCTCCTCCCCACTGATAGCTGATGTGTGGTGAGCGTTCTGGCGCACTATGGCTGCCATCGCATCATTCAGGTGGATGCTGCACATTGGTGGTGGAGGGGAGTCCCCATTACCTGTAAAACGCTTTGAGTGGAATTATTATTATTATTATTATTATTTTAGCCATATGAACAATTTAAATACAGGTGTACAGGTATTTGTATTTAAATACAAGAAATACATTCTCTTGGCTGTGGGAACAACAGTGTGCCCATATGGATAAGGCGACTGGAACAGTCCCATACTTGGCTTTTCAGCAGGCAGGCTGTGCTGTATGATAAAACAGATGTCAGGATGTTTGTAATTAGACTGAAGGTGAAAAGTGTAGCAAACCTAGTCTTATGATGCAGTAACAATACATAGCAATGCATTTATTGGCTGTTTTCCAGTTTCTTTTACATAAAACAGATACAATAGTTACTACTGTATTTAACAGTTGCATGTAATGAAAAATGAAAAGGATGCAGAAATGGTAAGGTGTGCTGGCCTATCTCAATCATTTAGTTTAGGACAATGTATCCAATTTTTTTCTTCAAAGTATTATATGAACATTTGGTAAAGGACAGATAATCTTTTGCCTCTGATTATTATTTTTCCTTTATTTCAAGTAAAAGTACAGTTACACAAATTTAAAGAAACTGGTCCACAGATTGTGTTTTGCGTTAACTGTAAGAATCTGTGAATCTTTGTCGAGGCTTGCTGTGATGCCTTGGGGCAATTCTCCCAAACCTTTCCATACTTTCTCATGCTTAGAGTCCTCTCCAACAGAGAAGACTCTGGTATAGAACAACTTGGATCTCCCAAGTTCTCAACAGAAAATCACTGTCAACCCTCAGCTGAGCTGCCCTGGAGAAATAACCCATTTAATGACATTTTTGTAGCACAACACTTTCTTCCCATGTAGACACTTTCCATCCAGTTACCTACTTTATGTATACTCTTCAGTGATAGCTGAGAAAAACACAGCTGCAGGCATCAATTGTAAATACAAACAATTCTGAAAAATGTAAAGCAACAGTCACTCTATAATGTTTGCTTTCTGCTCAGACTTTCTTTTATGGGTTAGTGTAGTCTCCTTGTGTGTAGTCTCCTTGAAAGGAGCATTAACCTATGAATTGTTTTCTTTGGGGTTAAGAATTGTATTTCTGGGATGTAGAATTGTAGATTCACATACTGTTTTATCACAACATATCTGGTTCAAGGACTAAGACTGTAAAGGACATCCGATTAAACATTATCCCAGTTTCTAACTACTTTTTCCATAAAAACTCCATCCAGGGTGTAACATGCCTTGAGTAACGTGCCAAGATAGGATATGGTAAGGCTTCCACACAAACTTGAATTGGAGGAAACAGTTAGAAAATGGATGGATGACTAGTTTATTTTTAACTAAACAGAGTTTCCCCTGGACTAACAGTATGCATACATTCAGATATTGATTCTTAAAATAGAAACAAAACCAACAGTACATATGCTGTTCGACTGGTTTGAAATTTAACATCTTGTCATCCTGTCATTTCTAACTGCAAGTAGTTTTATATGCTCCATGTCAAAGGCAGGTAGGCAGTATCTTTTGCAATGCCATTTTAGTGAGAAGATGGTTTCATTTTGAATTTGCACAGTCTCTCTTGATGCAAGACTAGAGCTAATTGACTGAACAAATTACCTTTGGTTACATTTGTGAATTAGTCTGCTCCACCACCCTGGAGTGGATTGACTCACTTTTCCCCTGAAAAGAGAGGGATTCATACAGACACATAAAGCAGCATTATTAATAGCAAAGGGCTAATGATGCTGACCTTGAAGATGCAGTTGCAAATAGGACTAAGTGCTGAAAAAAATACAAGTCAATAAAATTAAATTGAATTTGGTAAATAATGCCTTGCATTCAAAGTCAGCGGCAAAAGTCTTTTATTGAAGGCTTCCTTTTATACAGGAATCCATGGAGAAGTTAACCTGGTAATGGGAAGAGTGTTGGTTAACAATAAAACATAAGGAGCAGTTTAATTCAAAGCATTTTTACCACCTTTTTTAACCCAGTGGTTGATGTCAGCTTTTCGTCTGGTAGTAACTCGATGTCGTAGTATTATAAATCAACCATCAAATATTCGATTTGGAATTTGAAGCTGGTCAAAGATCAGTATGGGGCACCATCTCAATGAGAATTCTTTTACCAAGTTAAAAAACTATCCTAAGAAAACAAAATTCTCTCCTGTCATGCCATACTCATGCCATACATCTTCATGATTTTAACACAAATAACATGGTTATGGATTACATCACAGCTGTGCACAGATTGCAAATAATTACTATTTATTATTGAATTTAAAGATATTTTTGTAAATTGCCTTACTTTTAACAAGGAATTTGAAAAAGATTTATTGGAACAGTTAATGCAGCCTATTATTAAAGGACTACAGAGCACTGTATAATGAAACCTTAATGGTGTACAATCTTACACACAAATGTATTATTTGCTTCTTAAAAGACCTCATCTGGGTCCACTTACAAAACATACATTAAGTAAAAGTATAAAGGAAAAGAAATTGACTTCCAACAAAGATAAAAGTGTGCAAAAACAAAATATAATATGTACTAAATCATTAACAACCAATGTGTGTATACAAAAATAAAAGCTAAAATAGAAATACCTTTAATTGAACAGCTCAGTAAGTTCCCCTTGTAAACTTTTCTATTCAAGTCTAAAAAGGTCAGAGCCATTCCTTTGAGCCAGGGATTGTATTTGGTTGTTCTTGTCTCAACTGATTAAAAGGCAGCAATTTCTTTGTAATGTGAAGACTAAGAACTGTACCTAATATTTTAATGGATTGTACAATTTCAACAAGGCATTCTTAAACTTAAATTCAACACTTTATATCGTATATCCTAACATTCGTTTTACCTTATTTATTGCTTTTCCCACCATTTATTGCTTTTCTAGAAGACAGACATAATGTATTAATATGAATACTCAAGCCTTGTTTATACTGTAGATCAAGAATCTGAATTCTTAAGCACTTCACTGTGCAGCTTCTACAGTGTTTTGTGGTTTTCTTCCTATTTGGGTATTGTCTACAGATTAGGTAAGTTTACTACTATAACATACAGTAATTAAGATAGAAATAAACTAGAAAGAACAATGGTCCTAATACAAATCCCTGTTGAACTCCACTTATCTGTGCATTCTCTTTCCTGTCAATTAACCAGTATTTAATCCAATCCAGACATGAAATAACTTGTGTGTGAACAGCTTAATACTTAGAATTAATCTTTTGTGAAGAACTTAAACATGTAAATGTACCATATCATATGCTTTGTTTGTATTAATTAGTACAGTTATTTTTTCAAAGAAATGTCAGGAAAGATTTACCTTCTAAATCTATTTTGACTATTTCCTATAATCTTATTGCCATGTAATGTATCTGATCCTAATTTAGCTGTAATTATTGTTTTGCTCACCTCACATGAAGTACAAGTAAGACATGCTGTATGTAGTTCTGAAAATTTGTATTTTGTAAAAGATTAAGTCATATTTTTTTGCTTAAATTCAGGCATTGTTAATTGATATATTTTGACATTTCTAAACAGCTGATCTTTTTTTTAACCAGACCTATTTGTAATGCTCTATACCACTGATAAATATACTGTAGCTTTCAGTGTGAGTGTTCTGCATTTTGATAACCCTTATTTAAGTTGGAGAGTACTGCACTATTCATACAGCTAATAAAGTATCAAAGAACTTCAAAATATATTTATTTATAACCAACTACAGTATGTGTTCCAATATGACTTCGGAGTCAGTTTTTTATATTTGGACATTCCTTTTGCCTTTATGTTATCATAGATGCCAGAGTCATGAGGTCAGCATTGAATGATAGTCTGTGAGACATTTATTCCTGATGATATCAGAACTTTTCTGTAGATTCTCAATTATTGCCCTTGGGTATGAGTTAGTGGCCCAAAATTATTATTTTATTACTGACCCCGCATTTAGATTAATGTTCTCTTTCATTGCATTAGCCTTGAACGTCTTGGACACTTGGACATGGACTGCACAGGTATTAATGAGATTTCTTTAGCAGTCATGAGAGTTGTTGAGGTTTATCGTCTTAAATTTAGGCCTTGACTTTCTCTGTGATGATGTGATACTGAATGTTTTAGCTTTTGTGTTCAGACTCTTTTAATACACATTTACCGTCATTGTGATTATTAAAAGCTAAATATGTGTAGTGTATAAATACATTTAATCATTGTGAATATAGAAAATATTTTATACAGTTGAGATACTCAGTGCTCATTGTTATACAGTTTAAACATGAAATGTTAAACAAAATCCTGATTTACATTCACAGTACATTTTCTTTGCTAGTTCAACTTTTGGTTACAGTTTATCAAGGGTAATAACTTTTGTAGGCTACTATTGTATTCGGTACACTGAAACTCTCAAGAGAACTGACCAATTTAAAACCTTTCAAAGATATGTCTGTCCTGCAACTAATTCCAATAGTTGTTTCACTGTTAAACCATCAATTATGCTATGTGATCAGGATAAGATATCTCAGCACTAATTTAATCATTCTTTTTTAAGGGAGGAATGATAACATTATGTGTGCTAAAAGTTACAGCATAGCAGCACATTCATAAAGATAAATAAGTACACATTAAGGCCTCCAGGTTGATTACTGATTTAAGAAATGCAACAACAGCAAGTAGCAGCTTATTTTTTAAGTTTTATGAGGTCTCTCCTTAAAAACTGTGAAGACAATTTGGCACTTCAGAAGGCCATTTCTGTGATAAGGAGATGTATAAACCTGCAAGACTGTCTGATCTTAGCCTTGATCAGAGCACATTTGGGATGTTCTTAGAGGATTCTACACCCTAAACCACCCTCTTGGTGCTTTTCCAGAGTGGTGCAGGACCCCACAAAGCTCATCATCTTTTGGATTTGGAATATGCTAAGTCAGGTTGGTATGCAGGTTGCTGTGCCTCTGTGTGAGAACTTGTTTGACCAATTTCATTGTCATCACATCACTTTCAATAACTCCTTATTCAATTCAGGGTCATGGTGGTCAAGAGCACATTCCAGGAAGCACCGGGCACAAGGCAGGATACATTCTTGATGTGACATCAGTCTATCATAGTTCACACAGATATATATAAGCACACCCTAACAACAGGGCCAATTATTTACAGAAGCCAGCTAACCTACCAGTATGTCCTTAGACTATGGTAGGAAAATGGAGTATCCAGAGGAAACCCACACAAATGCAGGGAGACCACACACATACAGTAGCACCCAGGAACTGAACCAAGGCCCTGCCACTATGTGGCAGTAATGCTAGCCATTGAGCCACTGTGCCGCCCCTGACCAATTTCAGATTTTAATATGCTTTGTTTCCTTGTGCCCAGAATGCCATTTCATTTTTTAAAAATAATTTTATTTTCCAAGTCATGCATTGTAATTAACAAAGTCTGTAATGGCATGTTGTGGCCTGATGAGGGCAACATATTCATGAGTTTGATAGGGTTTAACTATTGGTTGTTCAAATGTTAGCACAAGTCTGCCTAAGAATTAGTGTACATTTACACTGCAACCACAGTTTCATTGCATTGCACTACCATGTATAAAACTGCATACAGTGCATCAAACATATGATCGCATTGTATATGTAGATCGTGATATAAATTGTAGTACCTTACCACGACGCAACTAACTTGACAAAATATTAGATACAGTTTGAATGTAATTTATGCTTTTGGATTCTCTTAGATGATCTTGCCAGCAGTTTGGTATTATAAAGATATCTGATTTGAAAATGTAGGTGTCCATTTAATCTGTCTGCTTTGCCATTCGGGCAGAGCGGTGGCACTGTGGCTTAGGATCTGTGCCTGTGGCTGGAAGGTTGCCCGCGGCCGGCAGAGGAATCCTACTCCTTTGGGCCCCTGAGCAAGGCCCTTAACCCCAACTGCTCCAGGGGTGCCGTATAAATGGCTGACCCTGTGCTCTGACCCCAAAAGCTTCTCTCTCTCCCCGTCCGTGTGCCTGTGTGTCTCATGGAGAGCAAGCTGGGATATGCGAAAAGAAAAAAATCGTAATGCAAGAAGTTGTATATGGCCAATAAATTGATCTCTACATGTAAAATATTTAACAAACAGCAAGTGGCTGAGTGTGGAATAAAAAACATTTCATTTTCTTCACTGAAAATATAAAGTTCCTATGCATGGGAGATTCTTGTGAAAGTGATTTTTTGTAGAAAGAAAATAACTATGTTCAATGTATTATTATTATTTTATTAAAGACAAAAATATGTTTTACAAAATTGTTCTAAGTTGCTAAGGAAATAATATCAGGGGAATATATATTCTGCTACATATTTAGATTTTAAAAGTATTGTATGTATAATTTTGAAAATGAAAAGAGAAAACATTGTTACATCTTTTATAATTTAAAGTGTGATTGTCATTCACTGGTTGCACATTCTCTTTAAACACATACAGCAAAAATTGTGAGGTAATTTGTCTTAATTGTGACAAAGTAAAGAAATTCAAGTACCACAGTATACTTTACTATGCATATTTAAATAAGCTCTCTGGCCTTTAAGATTTGTGAAGAAATGTCATGTAGAATTAGTATTGTTCAAAGGATCCTAACTGTAATAATAATTGCATGCAGTCACAAGTGATTAAATTGAGCATTTGAGTGACGGGACATAAGGCAACAGAAAATTGAGCTTCAGGTAAAGATGTCTATAAATATGAAGAAACTTAGGCCATTAGAATTCAGAGCTTGTGGTAAACTTTTTGATTCTTTAAGTGTTTGCAGTTAAAAGGAATTTGTATAGGATGTCTGTGCAATGAAAATATTGACAGGATAAATGTCAAGGTCAGAGTCACTCATGTTTCGTGACAGATGCCTCAGAAAGGTCAGCGCACACATATTTGCAGTGCATTCTTTGACCGGAGGCATAGTGACACACAGAACATCACAAAGTAGTGCAGCTGGTGAGCCTGTTCTGATAGAGCATCTTAGGTGTTGTTTTATCAGCATCTGTGAGTCTGAACAGAGGGGGTAGGAATTATTGGCACTAGTAACATAGCTTCCTCTGGGTGAGGACTGACTGGAAATTCTCCATCTGCAAACCCCCTAGTGTGTTGTATGTTGAAGTTATGAGTGGTGCTGTGCCCTTTCTGAGTTTATCTGCTTTGCCAACTTCAACATTAATGCTGGAACACCTGTCTGCCAACTTCACACTTTTGCAGCGGGAATGCTGTGCAATATGGATTACGGAAATTCTGTAACGTGTAAAAATAAATAAATAAATGGAATAGTTTGGGAAGTACCATTTCTTCTATCTTTTTAATATTATCTGTGTGAACATACCGTTTTCTGTGGAAAAATATAGCTCTCTTTCATTTATCCACGTTATATTAAGTTCCAGTACGTTTACTTTTCAAGGTAAAAGGAAAATATATTATAAAAAGTAAATTTGGGCATCTATTTTTGATACATTTGTTCCGGATTTTGGTTCAATGAGACGTTAGTGATTTCATGTCCGTCTTTCATTCCTTTGGGACAGCAATTAAGCTTAATTCCCTCCGGACTGAAGGACAAGTTGACCAAGACTCTTTCTGGGATGGGCAAGACGCTGTGCTCTTTTTTGATTGGCTAACAGAAAAAGTCATGATTTTGTCATCTTTTTCCCTTATAATTTTGAATATTATATTATTACTGTGATGATAGTATTGGGCTAGATGTATTTTGGGCTAGGGTTAACCCTAACCCTTTCTTTCCTGTCTTTCCTTTAAACAGATATTTTTGGTATTGGGTCACATCTACTCTAAAACTGCTTGAATGCTGAATTTGCAATATTTTGTGTTTTAAGGCTGTGACATATTTGTATAGCAGATTTAATTTAGAGCCTAAAACTGGAACTAAAACATTTCACTTGCTTAATGCAAGTAATGTAAAACTGTGTTCACTAGACTGCAAATATATATTAATATAGAAGTTCTATAAATATTGCAGAAACACAGTGCTGATATCTATATTTATGTCAATAGATATAATTAGGCTTCCAAGTAGTGGAAACCTTTAGCGATTGTAATGATTTTTTTCTAAACACAAATTGCTCATATTTTGAGACTGAGCAACTTCATACAAGACAAGTCCTACAGTAGAATTGATTTTAATCCACAAAAATTGTGATACATATTGGGATTCTGCATCAACCAAAGTCAGAAACTCTTCAATGATGGAAATACATCTGGTTGCATTTTATGAACACTTGAAGGTTAGCACAAGTTGCTAGTTTAATAATGGTTATAAACCATTTCGAAGAAAGCAGCATAGCTTGCAAAGTACTTCTGATCAAAACACTTGTTGGCTAATTAAACCCAGAATTTATAGGTCTAATTCTCATCTATCTCATCTAATTCTCATCTCATCTATAGGTCTAATTCCTGCATACATGTACACATGAATTGTTACAGTAACTACAAATGTTTAAGAACTGTTTGACCAATTAACTACAAAAGTGTTGAGCATCATTCAAGTAAACATTTTATCAAGATCTTTTTTACATACTGTATAGTAAGTTAGCTGCATGTGAAAGGTCACCGTAACCTGAAAGTGATTTAGTACCTATGCACAAAAAAACTTTTTACCCACCCCAACCTACCCAACCTTAACTTGGTTCAACATTGACTTGCGTCTTTTCTATTTCCCCCATTTCTGATGTAAAACCATTTACTCTCACTCTTTGTGATCTGTTGTTCCAAAAAATTTGTATAGCACCCTTAATAATAGCATCTCATGGTGCTTTGCATTAGGTGTAAAACAGTTAGAAATGAAGAGCACTATTATTATTACTATTAAACTACAAATTATGTTTATTAGCAGTAGAGGTCCTAATATACAGTAGATCTCCATGGTACTCTGTTAATGACATTTCCTCCAATTTGAGCATTCACCCCTTAGCTGTAGTGTGATTATTCTATTCCAAAAGGCGTTCTCAGTCTAAATACATACATTGTCACAAATGCGCACCACTCTGAATTTGATGTGAAACTTTATAAAAAGCCTTCAAAAAATCCAACAATGTCACATAATATACTCAGTACTGTATGCATCCGTTCTGCTGTTGCTTGTACAGTGAATTATTAGTTAAAAAAAGCCTTCCTGTTCTACTTCCATATTGACTATCCTGAAGAGTTATCATATAGAGGGTCTTCTAGTTTGGTTCTAATTATCATCTGCTTGCCTTTGCATGTAATAGATGTAAGGCTTATTATTCTACGATCACTTGAGTTAGTTTTGCGATCTCTTTTGTGGATGTGTGCTACATCAGCTATTATTCAGTCAGTGTTGAGTGGTTTGCAAATAACATCACTTGTTTCCATTTAATAGTATTAGAATACCATCAGCCCAAGAGGTTTTATTTATCTTATGTATAGAATTATTTGCCTTATGTGCTTCTAGTTCCTGTAAGACTTAAGTTTGTTTTATGCTGATAATGTTGATTAATTATGATAATTAAAATGTATTAGAATTAATATAATATTATTTGGCTGACACTTTTATCCCAAGTAACTTACTGTACATTTGTATCCATTTACACAGCTGGGCATTTTAGTTAAGCAAACTGAAGAACCTTGCTACATCAGAAGTACCCTACCTGGGATTTGAACACACAACCTTCCTGCTATGAATCCACACACTATTACTACACACTGCTGCCTGTTCTGTTCTGTTTAATAATAAGCAACAAGTGCAAGGGAGGATACACCCTGGATGGGATGCCAGTCTGTTGCAGGGCACGCAGAGACAGACATACACACTTTTACACAAGGTCCACTTTTCCCCAGTAGACAATTCACCCACCACTATGGTCGGTGTGAGAGCACTGGAGTACCTGGATGAAGCCCATGCAAACGCAAGGGTTCATTCCAATGCAGGTTTCAGGCA